ATTGAGAGAATCACACTAGAGAGAGAGAGAAGAGTTCCCATTGCGAGCTTGCAATCTCCTTTGCTTTGCTATGAGTATGTATTCTTCATGGGTATGTCCTTAGTTAAAATATTAAAGAGCTTTGGGAGTTGCAAAAGGCAAGGTTGTGAAAACCGAGCTAAATGATGAACCAAATAAAGTAGAGGTTCATGATTCGACGCTTCCATACAAATAAAATTAAATAAAATATAATAAATAAAATGCATGTAAAAGCTTTAAAGCCTCATTAGTTTTAAAATTTGTCCTAAGGAATAATAAGCAATTGTTGAGTTGTTTCTTTTATTATAATGTCTAGGCTTCTGATTTGAGTCATGAAAACATTTCTGCAGATACAATGTTTTAGCCTATCATTAAGTTAAAAGTAAAGCTCCTGCAAAGTTAAATCCATCAGCTGCCTGTATCTGCTAAATCCTCCCCACTCCACAATGATCTATGATGTCGTAATCTTCATCGCCATCGTTTTCTTTATTACTACCATCATCTACATCATCTACTTACTATGGAATCACTCCATTGTTGCCCCTCCCCTTAGCAATGCTATTCTCAAGACCTGGCCTACGCTCACTTATGTTGAAGCCAAGAGGCTAGATCCACGTACGGTCGATGCCAGTTGTTGCTCTATCTGTCTTGTCAACTTTGAGGAGGGGGAGGGGGAGGATAAGGCATTGAGGCTCCTACAAGAGTGTGGGCATTTATTTCACGCAAAATGTGTGGATGCTTGGCTACGACGGCGACGGACTTGTCCAGTGTGCCGATCATTGGTGGTGAATGGGGCTATGCAGATGCCTTCAATCGAGTTGATTTCAATTGAGATCGAACAGTCTTAGATATATCTGTGTGTGTGCAAAACTTCATGAAACAAAATATTATTCTTAAAAAACAAACTGAAATGCATGAAATTATGTTTGTTTTGCATATATATATATATATATATATATATATATATATTGCCATTAAACACTTTTTAATACAAACCAAGCAAACCAAATTACCGGCCTTGAAGACATTACTAATAATAAACAGAAATTTATTGTTGACATGCATTTTATTTATTATATTTTATCTAATGTTATTCGGATTATGAACCTCTACTTTATTTGGTTCTTCATTCAGCTCGGTTTTCACAACCTTGATTTTTGCAACTCCCAAAGCTCTTTAATATACCCATGAAGAATACATACTCATAACAAAGCAAAGGAGATCGCAAGCTCGCTATGGGAACTCTTCACTGGCAGCATCACCTCTCTCTCTCTCTCTCTGTCTCTCTCTCTCTCTCTACTGTGATTCTCTCAACTTTCTCTATCTAGAAGGTTCTCATACTGCTCCTATGATATTCTGTGTCACCCTTTCGAGCGTAGAACAACTTTCACACCAAGAGTTTGGTAGTGAAAGTGAGTTTTTTTAATTAATATGTGAATGTTTTTTTTTTTTAATGGTCTAAGATTGTCATCTAGTGAGTGTTATGACGCAGCTGACAGCAATAATTCAACAACCCCATGTGGGGCCCAACAACTCTTTTATCACCTATAGGAGAAGAGGCTTTGGGAGGAAAACTCTTTGAGAAAGAAAGAAACTCTTTGGGAAAGATGTAAGTGGCATTTATTAGGAGGGATTTGAGTTGTTTAAGAGAGGAGATTATGGTGGGTTGGAATTTTTATGTTATGTTTGGAATTCTTGCAGCAGTTTTTATGAGGTTTTGGATTCCTAATAGCTGCTAGAAATTGTGGGAGAGAACTTGTATATTGTCTTGCTTTGCTTCAAAATTAGTAAAAACAACTCTCTTTGTGTTATTTCTTGATCTATTTGGAGTAAGTTGCTGTTTTTTTTTTAATAATGTTGTGTGTTGTTTTGATCATCAAGTCCTATCATATTGTTGGACTAGAAGGGAGGTTGGGATGGTAGTGTTGTTGATATGGATGTTCTCAAATTAGTTGCAGAGGTAGGTGGGGTTTTTAGGTGCCTATGGAAAATAGACAAGTCGACCAAATAGTGTTATGAAATGGCTTGATTGATTTAGAGGTTGTGCATGGTGTCATAATTGAGGGAAATGGTGTGGATGTTGTGTATAGAGGGAAACCTAGGGGAGGGACAACAAACATGGGAAGGACATGAGGACATCACAAGTAAAATATTTTTTCAAAAATGTTCATGAGATAGGGAGAGGAGCAAAAGAAATTATACGCCACAAAGTTGACATCATGAGAAACAAATTTTGGATTTGGTGGTGTCAAGACAAAGACATACACTTTGAGTGAGGGAAATAATATTTGAAATTAGCATAGAATTACAAGAGTGGGGTCCATGCATTTGAGAACATTATTTCAAGGCTTAAAAGATTCAATAGTAGCATGCAATATAAAGAAGAAAATATTTAATTGCGGTCATTGATGAAGATGACTCAGAATTAGGTTTATTAATCCGACTAATAAGATGAATAACTTATATAATTCAAAGCAAAGGAAATTGAAGATTTACATGTCACACGTTCCTAATTGTCACAGCAACTTACTTTCTTTATTATTTCAACAACTTTTTTTCCGATGAAAACAAGAAACATTAGAATTAAAATAGAAGTGATAACAAAATGATAAAAATAATGTGAGGAATTAGAAACACATAAGCAAAGAGCTAAGTTAATTTAATTTAAACTAATCAGATTTTTGATATATCAATTCTAATTAAAATTAATCAAGACTATTAAACAAATCAATATGAAATTATGGAGATGAAATAGAACAATGAATGAAATTAGCAAAATAAAAATCAACGCTCACATCGGTAACAGAAATCACACATCCAATTTATAAGATTTAAACAAAGAAATTTTACTCAAATCATATTATTAATTATATGCCTCAGAATAACCATTTATACTGATCATCTTCTAGGCTAATAGATATGTTTAGCACAAAATTCAGCTACATTGGATTCCAAATTTAAATTAAAATCCCAAAAAATAACAATTAGCACAATATTCATTATCTTGTATGCATCATATTTTACTACATTATCGATCATTTATATGCAAAATTTGCTTGAAGACTTTTACCAAAAGCTTGTTCTTGACAATGGCAATTATAAATTTACTGAAAAAATCTACAGAAGATAAATGAAATTCAAAGATGGCAGTAAAACTACTATCCATCCAAATTCAAAATAAAATCAACTAGTAGCACATTAGAAATTAGCTATTATAGAAATATGATCATATAAAACTATGCAACGAATTGGCTTAAATGCTTATAAAGTTAGAAATCCCAAAAAATTATAAATTTTTTTTAATAAAAAAGCCTTGGATTCTTCTCTTCTTCCATCTCTTTTTTTCTATCATTCAATCAATCATATACATTCACTTCTTCCAAAAAGTTGTTATTGGTAATCCAATTGTGTCAATTACTGATGATGCATGGATACTAATAAAGCTATCTTATAATTGGAAAGATAGACCTAGAAGAGATGATTCATATAATTTCTATAGAAAATTCAACCCTTGGAATTATCTATAGTATATTCATTAAAAATTATGTAAGTATTGTCATTACTCTTGCATAATCCATCATCTATATGTCAGATTTGCATGAAGAAATTTACTGAAAACTTGCTCTTAACAATGAATATTATACCTGTACGGAAGATGTTGATATAACTAAAAGAAAAAGCTTGCTCCTAAACGAATTATATATTCATAATTACTATTTTATAATGGACCAAAATCATTCTTATAGTTTACTGAAAGCAACAAGAATTAACCCAAAGAAACATTAAGATTTTTGTTATCACATGGAAGAGTTTTAAGCCATAGTTTCCTTTGGATTAATCTGGACTTGCCTAATTGAGCTCATTTGAGTGTGAATCGGATCCAAAACTGATGCCAACACTAATGATTGCCATAGAGAGGGCACGCGCCAAAGTTCATCAGCAACAAGTTTAACAGAGAATGGGAGAAGGCTTAACAGGAAGTTAAGAGGTGATAGTTTAGTGAATTCAAAGCCTCAGGTGGTATGTGAATAAATAATGATCTTTAGGTGTTAAATTTGTAAATATTAGATATTTTAGTAGTATGCATATAAATTCCTCTTTACATTAATTTGAACAGTGTTCACCTACTAAAGCAATATCCCGTTTGTAGACATCAATGTGATATTATGTTATGTAGATCTTGGAAAAAAATTTCCATCCACATCCCAATATAATGTTCATGCCTCAGAACATCAATGGAAGATAATTATAGATGGAGATATGAGAATAATGAGAGATGATAGTATTCATTGCATTGTTGCAACTTTGATAACTATATGTACAGAGTTTGCGACTCTAAAAGAGGCTGAGGTATAGCCTCGAAAGAAGAACATGCCAGAAATATTGATGAATTTGGAGCAAATAGATACCTTGAAGGTGGCTTAAGAAACCTCTAGACGCATAAACCTCCCTTAATTTTCTTTTGATTATTTGCCTGATAGCAGAGATCATTTCCAGAGGGAAGCTCAAAATAAATATTTTTTGAAAGCAATGAATTATTCTTTAAAGGCCCCCGGTTTGCTCAAAAATATCTGATAAAAGCTTGGTGTGAATTGAGAAATAACCTAGAGTAAGCGTGAATTGAGAAATAACCTAGATTAGATATTTATGCTAGCCCTCTAATAAAGAGATCAACAGTTTGTATTCCTTCAAATATAAAGCACATATTGGGCCAATTCAAAGTGCTCTTATTTAAAAGTACATCGGTGATCCGTGCTTGAACTGAATACCTTTCAGATTGCATTTAATTATTTTTCAATTGCATTGATTAAGAATTCAAATCACACTCATGATAAAAACACTGAAAACAAAAAATAAAAGAAAGTAAACCACAGATAATTTCCGCTGAAATATGCGTTCAAATGTCAAAAACTTCAATACAGCTAAGAAAACAATCATCAAGCAAACTGAATGAATAAACTGATGTCAAAGGCAAGCAATCAAAGAACAAATTTAAAGGCATTTTCCTTTTGATACTCATTATCAAAATATTAATACTTTCATTCAGAAAAAATCTGAAATTATACAATAACTATATTCTCTTTCCAAACAACAGTTCAAGCCGTATGAAAATACAAATTTATAGTGCTTATAAATTTAGATGAAAAAACCTTGCTAACGGATATGCATACCTCATTAAGCAATATGTTCAGCCAGAGTAAGAATCTTAAGATGCTTTTTCTTTCTGAGCTCATGCGGTACAGGGCCAAAGACCCTAGTCCCTATTGGCTCTCCCTGCTTGTTTACAAGGACTACAGCATTGTCATCAAACTTTACCTCACTCCCATCACAGCGTCCTCGCGGCATGGCTGCACGCACAACAACACCATACACCACCTCTCCTTTCTTTACTTTACCACGAGGTTGTGCTTCCTGAACTGATGCAATTATAGTGTCACCCAATCTTGCCCCCTTCCTCCCCTTCAAAGCTTGAATGCACCTAACCCACTTTGCACCAGAGTTATCAACAACTTTTAGTTTTGTCCTCATCTGTATGAACGTTCTCAGCTGCTGCAAAAATATAAAAAGAATAGACGACATTAATCTAATGCTATGCATCTACAAACATGCTACAGATATTCTTACCCCATTTTGGTTTTTATTCATGTAATTAGATTCTAGTAAAGAAGCAGCAGCAACAACAACAACATCAAAACTTTATACCACTACCATGGGGTATATTCCAGTAAAGCAAAATCAAAAAAAAAATGTTGAACTTCTTTGAAGTAGATATGCTTCAAACATGCAAAAATAAACATAAAAATAAAATGGAAATCCTCAAACCTGAAAGAAGAGACCATTGTAACCCAGACTTGTTAAATCTTGAGGTTTGCCAAGAGACCCAAGATTATTGCTGCTTAGGTTCCCTAGTAATGAGCGGCTAACAGCTACAAAGAAACCAAATAAAACAATGGTAATCTGATGTTGAAGAATATGCATATTCTCAGCAGCAAAGCATGAAGATAGGACTGCACCTCAAAATAAATTCACGTAGAACTAACATGAATTCACAAGACAACCTAGACGAAAAAAATTTCATGCACATAGAGTGATAGAAATGAATTGTTTAAAGTTGCTTCTGATCCCAACTTTTGCACTTTAACTCCATATCCCCATAGGATAAATCCTAATCTTAAATTCTTTTTAATGCTTTCAGGGTGAGCAAGCTAGTGGACAACTTCATATGCAACCTACATCTCATCAAACTATAGAATGGATGCAATGATGAAGCATGGGGAAAATAATTGTGTCAACAAGATATATTGACTAAGGCATGGCATCATGGGTTTCAACACAATAAATTAGGGAAGGCATAGTGTTTTTCAAGTGTAAATAGGAAAGTTGAAAATGAGAATGTTGCGGATCTGTTTTCATGGTTTATGATTTTGAGGATAGCAAACACTCGTATTTCTCTACGACTGTTTTATCTACTGACATTTCAGATCCACACAATCAGACTGCAATTTGGAACCAGCTCAAGATTTGGTAGACTAGGTCTGAGTCAGTTTGTACTCTTTTTCCTTTCTTGAGTCAATTGTATTTTTTGGTGTGGCTCCTGATGTTTTGTAACTTGAAAGATTTTCTATTGTTCCCTAAAGATTTCTGTTTTTGGTAACATCGTCCTGGACGATATGTCCAAAAGCAGAAATCCTAATTAGGGCATCCTCATTAAAGCAGCCGTCATAAGCTGATCGGCCTGGACAATACTTGTATCGGTCAGGACGATAGGCTCAATTCAGAAAGAATCAGCCGCCATGATCAGATTAGGTATTCTTTATTTTAGGCAATCGGCCAGGACGATATACACATCGTTCAGGACGATCTAACTCAATTATGCCTAAATTGATTTGGTATATTTGGAAAGTATTAATGGCTGATTGATACGATCACATCGTCCGGGACGATGGCCTGGACGATTTACATCGGCCAGCATCTATTCCGGGCGATGATCAGGACGATTGAAATCGGTTTTAAACTAATCGTCCGGGACGATCGTGATGTCGTCCAGGACGATGTAACAAATTTTCTTCTGATCGTCCCAAATCGTCCCGGGCTTATGAGCTTAATTTGTACTGATCGGCCAGGACAATATGTCTATCGTCTTGGACGATAAAATCGGCAACTTGCATTAATGAGCTCGTTTTGAGATCTTCTATTTAAGCTTTAGCAAGGAACTTTGTAAGAGTCTTTGGCAGTCATTGTAGCGTCGTTCTTTTGGGGGAACTTAAAGAGAGCTTGAAAGGGAGTGAGGAACGGGTAAAGTCTGAGAGAGAGAGAAGATCCTGTGAGGGGGGACTCAAGGGAGTGTGGAGGGGGATTCCACACGGTTGCTCCGGCAGACTTGCACCTTAATACCGTCGGATTCAAGGCTTGTCTTGAGGGAAGTTCACCAATGAAGAAGATCTCTTTGGTGTCAAAGGACCCGGCGACTCCGCCGCACCGGAGAAGGTGGAAGTAATTTTGTAAGGGCTTCTCCGCCTAGCTGTGAGGGCTAAAAGAGATACACTTAGTTTAGTGCAATACTTGGAGGGTGCCTCCAAGGAGTGGACGTAGGTCAAGGTTTGACCGAACCACTATAAATTCGGTGTGTTCTTTTCTTATTATTGCTTCCGCATTTAATTTCCGCATCGTTGATTTCTTTGTGGTGTTTTGGTTTGTAGTTTTGTTTTAAAAGATCTTTAACAACCAATTCACCTCTCTCTTAATTAGCCTTGGGCTAGTTTATAAGGGTCTAACATCCCTAACGAACTTTCAAGTGGTACCAGAGCACTCTCTAGTGTCATCTGAGCACTTTCAGAGAAGAGCTACTTCACCTTCTTACACAAGAGAACAACTTTGGCAATATCCATTTTTGTGGTTCTCTAATCTCTAGCATCTACAGCATACAAATCAATTACCAATATGATTTTAAGCAGTTGTGTGTGCGCTGCTTGTTTAGTGTAGGTAAGGACAGGGGTAAGCCATAAATAAACTGTTAGGCATGTTTAGATTTACAAAAGGCTGACTGGTGGGGTCCGCCCCCTTTAATGCTGCCGCCCATTTGGAGAAATGGGAAGAATGGGTTTTGGGAAGCTAGTTTGAGAGGGAAAATTTGAATGTGAGATGTTTGAAATTAGGAAATGAATTGTATTAGTAAGAGGGCCGGTTGGAGGGAGTTTTCTCATGCTTGAATATTTGTGTTCTCTTGAGTTCTTGGTTGTTTGGGCTCTAGATTGCTTTTCTAGAGATTTGGGAGAGAACGATCCTCCTCTCGAATTGAGGATCACTTGTATCTTGCTTTGTCTTTGTTTGTCTTGATTTTCTCATTGCAATCCATCGTTTGGGGGCTGTTTTTCCGCCCAGATTTTGCATTATTCACGTTGTTTTCACCAATTAGTGATAGGTTTGCTAGCAAAATCAAGTATTTCCCTTGGGCATTCTTGCGAACTCAAGTATTTCCTATCATAAACATGGTTAGAGGTTATTCAGATGAATTTCACTGAACTATATTTACAATCAAACTTATATTTCAACAGGACTACATTAAGTAGAAGGAAAGAGAGAAAAGGCTTCATAAATCAATCACCAAACATAGAATATTCATATGTGCTAGTGTTGTGTTGACAAGAAAAATCAAGCAAACAAGTCATGTGTAACACCTGCAGCAGCACGAACAACCAAAAACAATAACAATTTTTTTAGGATAGATTTCGTCCAATTAAAACAAATTCATACACACGGCACATATACAAGACTCGAACTCAAGACCTCTTAGTTGGTAGTCAAAGCTCCCAGCCAACACACCAAGCAGAGCCTCGTAAAACAATAAAATTAAACCCATCAATCTCAGCCTAACTATCTGGGTTTGAATTTGAAAAGCACCCTCTTCACAATTGGTATATGTTTAGAGCTGCAGCAAGTTATAAGTGCATGCAATTATTTGAAGTCAAATTTATGAATATTTTCATTCACCACTTGCCCCTTCTGGATGCTATATGAGATGCTAATTTTTATTTTTTTTTTAAGAAAATTTGAGCAACTTTTATCCGAGTATGAGCAATGAATAATACAAAAAAGGAAATATAATAAAGAACAACTAGAAAAAAAATTTGAGCAACTTAGCAATGAATAATACAAAAAAAGGAAGTAGAATCAAGTACAACTAGTACATACCCATGGACCATTTTGATGCAACGCATGCCGCCATTTCTTCTGGAAAGACGCTGAACACCGTCACTAAAAAAAAAAATTGACGGAGTTATCTCAAAATAATATGATCATATGAAGGAACAATAGGGAGAGCAGTGGAAAACAAAGGGTAAAAATCTTCCATTTTATTTGCATGTTCCTTCTCATCCCAAAACATGCCATGATAATCTCCCTAAATGCAGTTAAAAAGAGAAGAATTTGCAAAAAAAAACACTTTTTGTTCGGTGCAAGAGCAAATAGTATGCATCTCAGCAAAATACATGACTTAACAAAATACAAAAATAAATAAATAAATATCTCGCATTCCAAAAGGCAGCCAAATCGTTCTCTAGGTTAGCCTCAGATTCACGCATTGGAACTAATGGGCAGGTAAGAATTAAGCATCACCAAAGTTTTCCATGATTAGCAATAGAAGAAAACCATCGAAGATAAACTACTCTCTTTGAAGGATACAAAACTCTAGGAAACACATTCTGCATAACGATAAGCTTGAAGAAGGAGAACTAAAACCTAGAAGATACAAGTCCTCCATTTAGTGGAACACCTTCTCGAGAACTCAAAACCAACTTCTACGACCGTGACAGAGAGGATGAGAAAAAAATGCGTGAGATAGGGTCTAGGGCATCGTTACCTTCCTATTGTGAACACCGCCCGCAATAGCCGGTTACCACCTCGGGTCCGACACCGACCACCTCTTCAGACGCACTCAGAGTTCTCCTTCCGCTGTCACGCTATCCCTATCGAGTCACTCACTCTTCTTTCCGATTCGCCGCCACACTAGCTGCGTATGGGCAGACGGACGAGGGCCGCGATGTTGCCATTGCATTTACATGTTTGTGGTTGTTTTTAGGAGAAAGAAAAAAATTAATCAGAGAGATAAATATTGTTTTTTTTTTTTGGGAGTTTTAAAAGAGAAAAGAAATATTAATTCAAATTTTCAATAAGACCACATAATGGATATATATATATATTATATTTTTGAACTAAGTAAACTAAAACATGTAGTAAATAGCATAATATTATTAGCAAATAAATTTTGACTATTTATAAAATTTTAATCATGTCATTTTTATGGTTTTAATTAAATCTAAATATCAAAATTTTCAATAAAACCTCAATACATGTTTTCACATTTAATCAAATTATCAATGATTACATCATAACATTAAAAAAAAATCAATGATTAAATCATAACATGCACAAATATACTGATTTCGATAATTAAAAGAGGATAAATTTCAAAATAATCTCCAACTCTTTGAATTTCATCGATTTAATCTCAAGATATTATATTTCTCTAATTAAACGCCTTCACTTAGGGCATCTCTGACAAGAAAATTCATTTTTAACTTTAAAATACAATAATGCATTTCCAATTGAACTTTATTTCATAACACCAAAAAAAATATTCGGTGTATATTCTTTCTCATATTTTTTTTATATTTCTTTTTAATCATGCCTTTATAGTAACATATGCAACAATCGAACTCAAGACCTCTTAGTTGGTAGCCAAAGCTCCCAACCAACACACCAAGGAGAGCTTCTTAAAACAATAACATTAAACCCATCAGTCTCATCCTAACTATCTGGGTTTGACTTTGAAATGCACCCTCTTCAGTCTTCACAATTGGTAGAGCTGCAGCAAGTTATAAGTGCATGCAATAATTTGGAAGTCAAATTTATGAATATTTTCATTCTCCACTTGCCCCTACCAGAGGCTATATGAGATGTTAAATCAATTTTTTTGAAAAAAAATTTAGCTACTTTTATCCAAGTATGAGCAATGAATAATAAAAAAAAAAAATAGAATCAAGAACAACTAGAAAATGTTTGAGCAACTTCTACCCGAATATGGAGCAATTATTACGTCCGGTCAACCGAAAGCGTTCATAGACCAATAATCACGCGCCACATCACCTGAAACTCGGTATTGAGCACTCGGTATACATTCAGATACGTTCGGTTTTGACCGGACGAAATAATTGCTCCCAAATATGAGCAATGAATAATAAACAAAAAAGTAAATAGAATCAAGTACAACTAGTACATACCCATGGACCATTTTGATGCAAAGCATGCCGCCATTTCGTCTGGAAAGACGCTGAACACCGTCACTAAAAAAAATGACGGAGTTATCTCAAAATAATATGATCAGATGAAGGAACAATAGGGAGAGCAGTGGAAAACAAAGGGTTAAAATCTTCCATTTTATTTGCATATTCCTTCTCATCCCAAAACATGCCATGATAATGTCCCTAAATGCAGTTAAAAACAAAAGAATTTGCAAAAAAAATCACATTTGATCAGTGCAAGAAATAATAGTATGTATCTAAGTAAAATATATAACTTAACAAAATACAAAAATAAATAAATAAATATCTCGCATTCCAAAGGCAGCCGAATCGCTCTCTAAGTTAGTCTCTGATTCACGCATTGGAACTAATGCTCGGGTAAGAATTAAGCATCACCAAAGTTTTTCATGATTAGACCATCTCCAACCGAAAATCTCATTTTTCACTTCAAAATGGTTTGAAACTAACAAAAATGCCTTGATTCATCCAATCGAACTCCAAATTTGGGAAGGTAGCCTTCTTTCTTCTTTTCGCACCTTTCTTCGGCAAGCTAGATAGAGACAGAATATTGAAGTCCCACAGTTCATCCGCAAACAAAAAGAGGAATTTTTACCGTTCCCCTGGAGCTCTGCCTATAGGAAACACATTCTGAATAAACGATAAACTTGAAGAAGGAGAACTAAAACCTAGAAGATAGAAGTCCTCCATTTAGTGGAACACCTTCTCGAGAACTCAAAACCAACTTCTACGACCATGACAGAGAGGATGAGAAAAAAATGCGTGAGATAGGGTCTAGGGCATCGTTACCTTCCTAGTGTGAACACCGCCCGCAATAGCCGGTTACCACCTCGGGTCCGACGACCGACCACCTCCTCAGGCGCACTCAGAGATCTCCTTCCGCTTCACGCTATCCCTCTCGAGTCACTCACTCACTCGCTCTTCTTTCCGATTCGCCTCCACACTTCTGCGTATGGGCAGACGGACGAGGGCCGCGATGTTGCCATTGCATTTACATGTTGTGGTTGTTTTTAGGAGAGAGAAAAAAAATTAATAAGAGAGATAAATATTGATTTTTTTTATTGGGAGTTTTAAAAGAGAAAAGAAATATTAATTCAAATTTTCAATGAGACCACATAACGGAAAAAATAAATAATTTTGAACTAAGTAAACTCAAACATGTAGTAAATTGCATAATATTATTAGCAATAAAGTTTGACTATTTATAAAATTTTAATCATGGCTTTTTTTTGTTTTTAATTAAATCTAAATATCAAAATTTTCAATAAAACCTCAATACATGTTTTCACATTTAATCAAATTATCAATGATTGCATCATAACATTAAAAAAAAATCAATGATTAAATCATAACATGCACAAATATACTGATTCGATAATTAAAAGAGGATAAATTTCAAAATAATCTCCAACTCTTTGAATTTCATCAATTTAATCTCAAGATATTATATTTCTCTAATTAAACGCCTTCACTTAGGGCATCTCTGACAAGAAAATTCATTTTTAACTTTAAAATACATTAACGCATTTCCAATTGAACTTTATTTCATAACACCAAAAAAAATATTCAGTGTATATTCTTTCTGATATTTTTTTATATTTATTTTTAATCATACCTTTATAGTAACCTAATTTTATGATTTCTCTAACACCTCACAAAAATGCCATTAAATCTCACATTCGATTGGAGCTTACAGCAGACTGCAAACACTCGTTTCGCAGTTAGTTGGAGATGACCTAAAGAAAAATTGATTCAAAATTATCCCTTCAAGATAAATTAAATTAAAAATAATTTTATATCACAAATATAATATGAAAGACTATTTTGAATCAACTTTATTATAATCATCAGATGACTAAATTGGAGAAAAGTATTACTGTTGGAATACATTTATCATATATGAATAGTTTGGAGATTATTTTGAGTTTTTTTTTTTTTTTCATTTAAAAAAGAATTGACCCGAATATAAATTTTATGAATAAGAATATGTGAATAAATATCCCAATACTAAGTAAGAAAACCAACTCATTCCAAATTCATGCAGGAAATGTGAAATATTTGCATTGCCGATTCAGCACAACACAATACAATTGATATTTGACAATTTGTTCAGCTCAAGTAGCTAAGGTTGTTCTTTGACAACTATCAAAACTGCAAGCTAAGATATCAGGATAATCTCTGGTAATTGTGAAGTAGTCATAAACATTGCCATTACTGCTCTTCTTGTACTGGAACAAGAGATTTGTATGATTATATGCAGTAAGCTTGACAAATCCAAAGTCCTGGTCTCTAAAATGACTCCATCTTGCTTTAAAAGGGGCGTAATCAGCAAGGCTAGCTCCCCCACCTCCAACTACGACATGGGTAGTTGCTGTAAAGGGGCCACTGTAATGATTTGAAGCATTTTGCAAACAGGAATTCTGTTGAATAAAAGAAATATGTCAGCAGTTAGATGAAGAACTTGTTGAAATTGTTTATGAAAAATATTTAGAATTCATTTAGGATCTGTAAAAGCAACTTTTTTGTTGTTTTATTTTCAGACTTAGAAAATATTTAGGCTTCGTTTGAGACAGCTGCTTTATTGCTTTTTGAAGTAACTTTTTAGTATAAAATTTAAAAATTTTGTACTAGAAAGTTGATTCAAGAAGCAATAAAAAAGCCTTCCAAACGAAGCCTTAGTCCATGGAGCTCCCTATCAATACTATTACAAATACAGAGAGGTTGTTTCACTGACTCGAGCTTGGAACATCCATAATACAATTGATACAATTTCAATGATGTTAAAGATGAAAGACTCATTACCTGGTAGACTGGGCAAGTTCTTTCATAGCTGTGGACATGGCCGTAGAAAGCAATATCAACCTTGTATTTTTGCCAGAGTTCTTGAAGACTCTCTCTTCCCATTGGTTCCTCAAAGGATCCTTCCTCAGAATAGAACTCAGCTGATGAATAACCAAGAACTCGATGAGCAAGGAAGATCAGCCATGGCTGCTTTTGTCTATCAACAGTCGATAGGCAGTGCTCAATAAATTTATACTGCGGCGTTCCCGGCCTCCAATCATGCTCAGTGTCAGCTATACAGAAGTGGAACATACCATAATCCGTAGAATACCTACAAAGATGAAAGGGGTAAGACCATATACATCAACTCCTGCCCAAATCCTACATTGACAAGAGCTCTATCCACTGGGTACTTTTTTTTTTTCATAGTAAAGTCAAGAAAGCTTCATTCTTTTTGGACATTTACCAGTAATTGGCTGTGTTCTCCGCTGGAACATAAAACATGGTTTCTGCCAAAACGCCACATTCTCCTCCAGAATCTTTGTTCTCATAGAAGGATCCAGTTCCAGGAAAATCTCGCTCATGGTTGCCACTGCAAGTAAAACTTACATTATTAGTTCGTAGATGAAGCCTGATATCCAAGTAATTTATCACAAGGACTGACCTGCCAACCATGTATGGTACTCTTGAAGCAATGGGCTCAATTTGAGCAGTAAACTGATCCCATTGTGAAATGTAACCATTTGCATAGCATATATCTCCAATATGGAGAACTAAATCAATATTATTCAAGTCCTTAATCAACTGGTAGGTTGTATTTAGAGAGCCAGGCTGGAAGTTCCTAAACTCATTGGAACCATCAGCTTCTGCCTGGTTTAATGCATAGGAAGAACAATATGATAGGATGAAAACAAATATGCAAGTAAAGATATAAAACAGAAAATGTATTTCAAACGCGGAAAACTGTTCAAAAAGTCCAATATCAGACTTCCATCATATGCTAAACGAACAGTCTCGTTAAACACATCTAAACATCAGGAAATGCGTAAAATGCATAACCTAGTTCAGCAAAATAGAAAATAGTTTTTAATAATATAGCATTACACTTTTAACATTTTTTTATTACACAATAGATGAAAGTTTCTTGAGTATTTCAAAATCAACTGAAGGACACATTTCAAACAGACCACACATGTGCCTAATGATTTAAATGCAAACTTTGTTGGCATATTAGGAATATTGGGAAATAATTATATTAGGAAGATATCATTTTATATCCTAATAAGTGGGCGTAATATTATCCTTATTTGTTTTCAATTTGTATCCTCTTTTATGCCTATTTATAGGCCCATCATTTTCAGTTCATAAGATACATAAATTCCCTTCCTCTCGTGATTGATCCCGCTAACCACATGCCTACCCCTACTCGCATCGCACATCAGTTCCACCTACTTACTTGCATCTACGTGCGTTGTCTCCCGCTTGCTCATGTTTGTAGGCATTGTCAACGCTAGCTCACATGTTTCACAATCTCGTGACAGCCCTTGGTGCCCATTATTGCTGCCATGTACTCACCTGTGCTCATCACTTGCTCTCTGTTAGGCCAGCACCTGAGCCGGCTGGACAGGTCTTGGTCTACACCTGACGGAAGCCAGGCAAGCAGAGGGAGGGGGCGGAAGTGCTGGGAGCCCACTTGGAGTTAATTCAAATTTTGGGAGGGAGAATTTGACGGAGAATTTGAATTAGAAGGGGTAATTAGGTCTTTTGTAATCCTCCTTTCATGTTTAATTAGGGAGATGAGGGGAGAATTAGGGTTATCTTGAATTTGAATTATTTTGAGATCTAGGGTTTGATGTTCTTGGGCTCTTGGCTTTGCCGGAGATCGTTGGAGAGTTTTTCCTTCCTCTCGAATTGAAGGAAAGTTGTATCTTGCAAGTGCTTTTAATCCTCTATTGAAATAAAAGTGTTTGCTTCGTTTTCCTACGAGTTTCTATTGCGTTTCTCCCAATTTTCTCCGGTTTCCTGCTGTTTTCTGCTGTGGACAACAGTTTTGTTGTTGAAGTTTCACCGATTTGGATTAGGATTACTTGCGAACTCAAGTATTTCCTATCAATTTTTTTATTACACAATAGATGAAAGCTTCTTGAGTATTTCAAAATCAACTGAAGGACACATTTCAAACAGACCACACATGTGCCTAATGATTTAAATGCAAACTTTGTTGGCATATCAGGAATATTGGAAAATAATTATATTAGGAAGATATCATTTTATATCCTAATAATTGGGCGTAATATTATCCTTATTTGTTTTCAATTTGTATCCTCTTTTATGCCTATTTATAGGCCCATCATTTTCAGTTCATAAGGTACATAAATTCCCTTCCTCTCAACTTGGTATCAGGGTAAGAAGAACTAGCCGCTCTCGCGATTGATCCCGCTAACCACATGCCTACCCCTACTCGCATCGCACATCAGTTCCACCTGCTTACTTGCGTCTACTTGCGTTGTCTCCCGCTTGCTCATGTTTGTAGGCATTGTCAACGCTAGCTCACATGTTGCACAATCTCGTGACAGCCCCTGGTGCCCATTATTGCTGCCATGTACTCACCTGTGCTCATCACTTGCTCTCCTACTCATCTATACTATTGTGAAACACTAGCAGTCATGCGGTCCTTATGCTTTGAAATACTCTACTATAAGCCATGTTGCTTTGCACGTTGGCTTCACTCAATGCAATCTCAACTAATGATAGACTTGAGTTGCTTTCTCTCATGTTCTTCAGGTCATCGAGCTATCATCTCCTCCACCATGTTCTGATAAGGTTGCCCTCACTATGCATCGTGAAGATAATGGCAGTCATGGATGTAGAGTCGAACTGACAATGGACATGATCATGGGAGAAGCACTTCCCTCCCTACTCTTATTTTGGTCTCATCAATCATCTTTCAAAGGGATGTGGGCTAAATTTGATTATCCTCCTACTACCAAACATGCCTCTAGAGCACACGGTCTTGCTTATTGTTTTTCCACTAATAAACACTCTTTCAGGTAGCCTTGATCTCTCAAGGAGGAGTATAAATGCTTAATCCCAAAATCTCAAACCTTTATATTTGGTTTCTAAGTTGATTCCTCCACTAGTTCTGGTACAGTTACCTCCTCAAGCGTGCCCTAGAATTGAGATTTAGGTGCCTTCTCCTATATAATGAATAACCAAAAAGTTTTCTCCTCTCTCCATATGACCACCCTTCCTATCATTATTATGGTTCATAGGTCACCGTCCCCATCTCTGTGAAAGGAATTATGAATCCTTCAAAATTTTCTCCCTCTGATGTATAATTTATATTAACTTTACTATATACTCATTATCTTACAAAGCCTTAAAATTATTATGTAACATTCTTTCTCTCACAGTACCTTTCGAGATCCCAGCCCTTAAAGATGATTATTGAAAGTATTTATAAAGGTGGCATATACTATTTGACTGTAAATTTTCCTTCCACCCTATCCTCCATTGTTATCATTTTTCATTGGCATTGTTGGTTGGGGCATCCTTCTCCTAGAAAACTTCAAGAGTTTGTATTTGGTTCTTTGTTCGTACCCAAATTTGATTGTTATACGTCTAAACTAGGTAAACACCACCATATATCCTCTCCATCCTCACCCTTAGTATCATCCTCATCTTTATGAGTTAATTCACATAAACATTTATGTTCATAGCTCTATCCTTGCTCATCCAGGTTTCTGCTATTTTTGCCACCTTCATTAATGGTTTTTTCATAGCTTACTTCCATTATTCAAATGTCACATAGCATTCATTCATAGATTTCAAATTTGTACACCAAGAAATTTAATTTTAGTTTTCCATTTAATAGAAATCTTAAATATTGATAATGCATTAGAATTCATGTAATCTCAATTTCTCAATTTTTACTATACTAATGCTATTATTCATGAAACATCATGCTCCTATATCTGTCAATATAATGATGTTGATGAACACAAAAGCTCACATCTTTGATGTTGCAAGGACATTGATGTCTCACATGAATGTACCATATCAATTTGGAGAAGATATTATCTCAACTTCTTGTTATATAATCAATTGTATCCCTTTTGCACTTCTCAACCACATCCCACACTTCACTCTTTATCGTGGTCAACTTTGTTTATATGTTTTACTCACAAGAAAAATTATTTCCCTAAGTTATTTATTGCGTCGCTTTTTTTCTACTTCAAAATCAATACTATGATCCCCTCATACCATGACTACGTACTTTCATCGACGTAACTTTTCATGAGACTACTGTTTGATCTACACAGTCTTAACCTCGAGTAACAAAGAAATTCATTCCAAGAAATAATAAACATATTATTTTTTAAAATATATATATAAAAAAAAATACTAGATATTTTTATGAAATATGATTTTCCATTTTTATCTGCTTGTTATGCTCCTTGAGGTCAGCATTAGTGTTTTCTAACAGTATTGTGGCAAAACAAAATGAATACTACCTTTCCCATGTCACCAAAAATTACAATCTGCTGTAAAGAATCTTGGCCCGGATATGGAGATGCCTTAAAGCTATATGATCGGCTCCAAACATAAGAGCCATTAAATAACCTATGCCCGAGCTTGTAAGTATACCTGCAACAACAACAATTAAGGAAATTTCAATAAAAGATACTGTCACTTAGTGAATAAACAGTAGCTTAAAATGTGTAAACTGAAGTTGACAAAATTAAACTAAGAGCACAAAGAAAGAAGCATATTCACATTAAATTAGGCCACAAATCCTTAAGAAAGCTTGTATGTATGAATCCCGGATCACGCCAGCCAACTGTCCTTGCAGGTGAGCCTTTCAAGAAACAAAGTTAGGAATTAGACACCCTACTAAAAGATACAAAGCTTTCAAGATTACGAAAAATGCTTGATGAAATAATTAGCCACCCCTTCCCAAACCCAGTTTAAAAAAGGTTCTAGCCTAGAAAAACGCTTAAAGCTAGCAAGAAGCAACACTACGTGTGTGATGAGCAAAATTCCTTTAATGAACTCATTAAGGCTTCGTTTGGGATGGCTTTCTTGTTGCTTCTTAAAGCAGCTTTCTAGTATAAAAATTTTATTTGTTGTACTAGAAAGCTGCTTTAAGAAGCAGTAAGAAAGCCGTCTCAAACGAAACCTAAGACATATGGTGACTCTATGAAGCATTTTGTGACATTACAGAAAAACCCTAGGCCAATATCCATCTAGCAATTTTTTGCATTGGTCTGATTTCAAACTTTTAGCCACCCCTTCCAAAACCCAGTTTAAAAAAGGTTATAGACTAGAAAAACGCTTAAAGCTAGCAAGAAGCAACACTAAGTGTGTGATGAGCAAAATTCCTTTAATGAACTCATTAAGGCTTCGTTTGGGACGGCTTTCTTGTTGCTTCTTAAAGCAACTTTCTAGTATAAAAATTTTATTTGTTGTACTAGAAAGCTGCTTTAAGAAGCAGTAAGAAAGCCGTCTCAAACGAAACCTAAGACATATGGTGACTCTATGAAGCATTTTGTGACATTACAGAAAAACCCTAGGCCAATATCCATCTAGCAATTTTTTGCATTGGTCTGATTTCAAACTTAGAATGTAACTAAAGTAAAAAAAGAAGGATATATGCGCGCAATAAGATAACATAAAATCACTAAAACTATCTTATGGGGACATCAGATCATGGAAGGTCTATCAGAGACGTGGCCGCCGATCTACGGCCACAATTGAGTCATTGTATTTTTGATTTATTCTTTGTATTTTCTTATTTTATGTTGTCGCATTTTATTTGCTTTATTTAGTTTCCCATTGTACTCATTTATTAAGGAATGTCGTATGTAAGCCTTAGGGGCATTGTTGTCTTTTGTCTTTGAGTCCTTTGTATGAGGCTTTATATAGCCCTCCTTGTTCTCTTTTGAAGTTAATGAATGAATGATTAATTAAAATTTCTTCCTTGCATGAGTTCTTGTGAGAGTTTGAGAGATCGGAGAGAGATCCCTTGGAGAGGGAGAACGACGCATCACCCACCAACCTAGACAAGTCGGATTCGTGGTTCTACTTTGTATCTTTTCTTTTCTCCGACCACCTCCACCATCCAAATCATCCTCACGGCCCTTTCCCCGCCCAAATTTCCCAAATCGATCCCACCAAACCCGCCAGCCCTATCCCCTTAGTCGCCGTCCCACCACTTCCCACTTTATCCTTGGGTTTCCTAATTTGGGTGAATGCAATTTGGAATCAATTTGAAATTCAAATCATCTAAATTTAAAATTCAAATTTCTTTTATAATTTATCCCATCTATTTTAGAAAAGTTCGGATTTTAAATCCCTTTGAATTTTAAATCCAAATTGGATTTGATTTATTACTTTCCTAATTCCCAAAACCCAATTAAGAAACCTTAACTCATCCCATTAATTGCTCCCTAATCTATGCATGCTGCCAACCCCCCCCCGCTTCCTGATTCTTCTTCCATAATCTAGAAGTGAATCGGGCATCTCTATCATAGATTATTGATTTTGGAATTTCATGTATCACAATTTTATCAACATATAATATTTCTAATTCAATAATTTCCCCTTGACCAAATTTTATTAAAGCCTTTAACTCTTAATTTATTTCCTAAACCAAGTAGTGGATTTAGGAAATAAATCCCCACCCCATCCCTCTTCATGCCGTCGCCCCCTCCTCTCTCTACCCGGCCCTCCCTCTCTCTCCAATCTCTCTCTCTCATTAATTCCCCTCCCGGATTTTAGGAATTAAACTTTCCCTCCTATTCCTCTATTCTCTTATTCAAAAAAATCTGAAACTTATTTCAGATTTTAGAATTCGAACTTCTCTTTCAAATCTTTTTATAATCCCACTAGCAATCTCCTTCATTGGTCGACTCTCCCCTCCACCTAGCGTTTGTTTCTTGTGAGAATCCCTCTTCTCTCAAGAACATCGACGATCTTTAAAGATGCAATCGATACCACTCCGTACCCGAAGCCATTACAAGGCCGATCCTAACACCGACTACGGACTTGCCTACGACGAGCACGGTTTCGTAAGCATTCTCCATTCAACCTTCTTCGACGTAAACCCGAGGATTGATCATACAGTTGAAGATTACATCAAACGCATCTTGGACACCTTGGTGGAAGCGATTGAAGAACTTGAGATCGTCGAGTGGAGAATTGCCGCCGATCCATGACGGAGGTTCTACTTTTCCCCTTTTCATGTATTTCTTAAGTCTAACCCTTTCTTGTGATTTGATTGTAGTCACGATGGACGCTTTCGCCTTCTTCTGCTAAGCTTAGTAAACGTAGGAATTTGAGTGCATTCATTTACTTACTAATCTCATTGTTAGATTATGGATTTTTCTGAAACTACTACTTTGGCATGAATGCATGATATTATTTTCTTACGATAATTTTGAAGCTTCAAATCTATTGTTATGCAACTTAGCCTAAACGGTAGTGACCCCTCTTACATTTTGATTCATCGTTTTATTTGCTAGTAGATTTATTTGTTATTCCTCTAATCAAAAAGTTGTGCAAATTCTTAACAAAATTCATTGCATCCATCGTAGTTCTACATCACTATCTAGTATAGATCAAGTGAAAAGTCCTAATAAAAAAATAGTGAACTATTAGAATTATTTGGCACCATTTTTTTTTTTTTTTTTTAAAAACGTCAAATGGAGAAAAAAAAAAAATATATGATTACATCAAATGCATCTTGGACACCTTGGTGGAAGCGATTGAAGAACAACTTGAGATCGTCGAGTGGAGGATTGCCGCCAATCCATGACGGAAGTTCTACTTTTCCCCTTTTCCTGTATTTCTCAAGTTTAACCCTTTCTTGTGATTTGATTGTAGTCACGATGGACGACTTCGCCTGTTTCTGCTAAGCTTAGTAAATGTAGGAATTTGAGTGCATTCATTTGCTTACTAATCTCATTGTTAGAATAGAGATTTTGTTGAAACTACTACTTTGTCATGATATTATTTCTTACGATAATTTGAAGCTCAAATTTTTTGTTATGCAACTTAGCCTAAACGGTAGTGACCCATCTTACGTTTTGATTCGTCGTTTTTATTGCTAGTGGATTTATTTGTTATTCCTCTAATCAATAAGTTGTGCAAAGTCTTAACAAAATTCATTGCATCCATCATAGTTCTACATCACAATCTGGTATAGATCAAGTGAAAAGTCATAATAAAAAAAATAGTGAACTATTAGGATTATTTAGCATCAGATTTTGTTTATCATAAAAACGTCAAATGGGGAAAAATAAAACATATATCTTAGGAATAACACAGACCACACATGCTGTTCCGACTGATAGTCAGGGTTCCTGCTGGAGAACGTGTTTGATCACCACCACTTGGACCCCATTCAACAAAAGGTTGAGCCTCATCAATGCCATATCCACTGGTCCATGTTACAGTCATCTGATTAAGATTATTTTTTAAGAATCAATAGAAAATAGTGAGGAAAAAGAAAGTAGAATACATGAATCTATTCGCAAATACAAAAAGTTAAAATTCTCAGAAGATAAGCTTACTTCTGCATTGCAAAAGGAAGCAATAATTAATCAATCTAAGCAGTAACGTCCCCACTTCACCATTAATACCATCATGATCATCAGAATTAGTTGTAACCCGATAATATGGGGTCGATTTTATGAATCCCCTTTCTCCATTGGTTCACAGTGAGTATTACATCGATGTTAATTTGTTTTTATCAAATCTTTTTACACGCCTTCTAACTATGTTATCTATGTTATTTTCCTTCAAATCCCTCCACATTAATTCAGTCAAACTGTCTTATTTGGTGTCATCTAGACATCTACACTGCATTGTACAATGCAAACCACCTACACTATCTTCAAAAACAAGAATTCATATTTAATATGCAAAGAAAAGGAGACTAAAAGAGAGAAAAAAGATGGTTGATTAAACAACTAGAAACAACATATTTTTTTCTTTAAAATACACAAATGAGTCAAATTGCACAATTAAGTTCAATGCATAGCTTCTTAGAAGTTGCAGTGACAAGATACATGACACCTAAAATGAGTTTCTGCTAGAACTTTGATTTACATTACAAAACCCTAGAAAGAAGACCAAAGATGATTCCAAAATAAAACATTACACTTCGATGGAAAAAAAAATGACTTACTTCATTCCAAATTCTTCCTTGAGCCAGGCGAGGATAAACAGGTGCTTTTGGATTTGCAAAAGTAATTGTATTTGATACAGTAATCAGTTTTGGCTGTAATCCACAAAGTACATATTATAGTAAGCACATGCCAAAAACAATAAATAACATAAGATGCGCATAATAGCTTGTGGTTAAGTTGAGATTTTTGCACTAGACCAAAAAAAACTGCAATTTTGCAGATGATATGCTTTTCCACTATTTTTAGGCCTATATTAGATAGAAAGTTAAGCAACAAAAAAAGTTAAAGGCCAAATCAATAACAATGCTGCTCTGGCACACGTTGCATTTTCAAAGATAAAGATAACAGCAATTATATCCTCTAAGATGCAGCACTGAGATACCATCATATTGGCTTATATATGTGGCATATTCTACTTTATTATAAACAAAGGAAACTGGATAATAGAATATTCATTTGTATGATGCAAAAATACAAACATTTGAGAGTCCACCGGAAAATAATGCAAAAGAGAAGTCCTCCCGCTGGTTGATCAATTGAAGCTTCTGGAATCCGTTTCCAGTAGCCGAATAATCGACACTTGAGTAGTTTGCATACTGAAACTGCAAGAGATGACAATCTTCAGTATAAGCCTGATTATTTGAACACTATAAACTCAGCGAAGAATAATAATTTTTCTATGAAACAGTGCCCCATCACAGACAAACCTTAATAGGAGCAGTACAAAGCAGAGGAGCTTCTTCTGTCCCACTTTCCGGTTCACATACTGCGGAACTGAAGCAAGAAAAAAATGTCAGATCACGAAAGCATGTTCCAAATTTTCTTTCTTAATCATCTATTGTAGTTAACTCCTTGGATTGCATATGGAAAATAATTGTCACCGAAAATTAACTTGCCAGCCTTCCAGGTCATGCGTTTTATGAATGTGAGATATGGATGATAGTAAAATGTTGCATTAAAAATAAATTTCTTCATCTCTTTCCTTTCTAATCTCTTTCCTTTCTACTTCCAAGATAAACTAATCTTACTGTTTGGGCAATGATCAGGATTATGAAATGTACTGTCATTTTGCTGAAACAGACTTTTTATGACTAGTGCAATCAAAATTAAATGTAATATTTAAAAATTATGATGGCTATGGTAGTAATTTTCTACAAAACAATTTGATTACTAATCCCACCTTCAACAAAAAAATTGTAATCTTTCAAAATAGAATCATGCATGGCATAAATTTAGGCTGCCAAATGGCTCAAAATTCCGTTAGAAGTCTCAGTTTAAAACATATAAATATTTGGTTTTGCGGGGGAACAGAACACTTTTACCTGAATTTTGCGGGAGAAAAGACGCCAATCCAATCATCATTTGATGGATTTGGGTGTGTATATTCTAAAGTCACCCATCCATTATTTTGCCCCTTCAAATTATTTTGATTAGTGCAAGTTAGTTTAAGAACCATGACAAAACACATTCAACAAAAAAATGAGGTCAATGTATTGGAAAAACAGCAACTAAAAATTTTTAACCACATTATACTACTCCTTCAAAAATGGAACTTCATTTATGAAATATGAATCAAATTTGATGTGCAACAAAAGAGTTCTACAAGTATACCAATAATTTAGATCAATAAAAACAGATAAATGTATATGGTTTAGACAGGCAGACACACCAAGGCATTGATATAATAAAAAATCAAAATAAAAATAAAAATATTTGATTTGCATTTATAAGCATGATTGGATGAAATGCAATAATCCACAATGTGTAGCAAGAATTGTTCTTGCATCTTCAGAATTCTGAAAATCTTTTTGCAACCAAGATGTTTAAGCTTTATCATCATTAGCATTACACTAAGTATTTTTTAATACCTAATAAGCTTACAAAATCAAATAAAAAAATAAAAAAATAAATAATAAAAAAGGACTAAACAATCATAGCATCATTATAACCATCCTTTTCCCAAGTTCTTGGGATTGGTTTTATGACTACTTGATTCTTCATTTTTGTTGTTCCTTATAATCATATTACATTTCTATTCTTGTAATAGATAGGATCCCAAGCTCTCAGGCTTTATTTCAAATATTGTTCTTTTTAGCGAGCTTCAGATCTTTTAAGGACAGGTAATTTTTTATTGGTATTAACGTGTAGGCCCCGCCATCGATTTTCTCCAAAATAATAATAATACTACATTATATCCTTCTATTTTCCCACACATTCATATTAACATTCTCATTCTTGTCACATTCAATTTGGTTGTTTTTTATTTCTTCATTCTCCAACAATCAAATTCAAAACCTGCTCTAGTGTAAGTAGCCCATAAGGATATTCGATGTCAAAGCTTATTTTTCCTAGCAGAACTATCATGCCAGCAAAAACTGCATTCAATGAACAATTAAATGCTTCTTTTACCTCCCAATATAAAGGATATAACATCCATCACAAAACACAATAAATTACTTGATCCAACAAGAACAATTAAAGACTGAATAAGATATTTGATAGCCGGAGTAGCATATCGGCCTCAAAGAAAGAAATTATATGGTGTATGCAATGCAAGAAGGAACAAAATAGCATGAGCAATCACACATCATCATATATAATGGAAATTGGAATGATAAATGAATGCATTGAGTGCTGCATACAATGCGTCCAAATTCATTTTTCAATCATTATAAATAAATGCAATACCTGCAATACACAAACTGGATGAATCATACTTCATTTCGTTGGAAAAATAAAAACAAATGTTAGCAATACCTTCAACCCAAGAACCTCAGGAGAAGCTTTGATATAGGCTGACTCATCAATAGCAATTGTGGCTCTATGAATTGCAATCCTTTCGAGAGGTTGCTCCCCACCGGACCTCACTACCCCAAGTCTCAATAGATTTGAGACAGTAATTAATAAAATTAACGCATTTGCCTTCATCATACCAGCTGAAAATATCAAATCCGATGAAAAGATTATTAAAAAAAAAACCACGTCCGATCACGACAGAAATTATTAGTTAAAATATATAAAACCAAGTTGCAATTAGACTGGCAAAAGTTATGCCGAACTGAAAGTGACCGTTATGGACGAAACCCTAATCTACGAATTACTCGCCATCTAAACCTTATAAAAGCAAAAAAAAATGATGCAAAAGTCTGATTAGCAAAGAGCTTGCAGTTAAAGCAACGAACCAGATAGTAAAGAAGTGGTTTTTAATTTTTATGAACAAAATTTGATCTTTCCATGGAAAAAATCAGAGAAGACCGGTGTCAATAAATGCAGAAAGCAAGGAATATTCATTGCCAAGTAAAACCACAGTACCGGAAAGAGCTCCGGAAGTACTCGCCACTGCAGATAACAGCTCCTCGCTTAGATTCCCGAATTAATGCAGCGCAAATTTGAACTCGGATAGATTATTAAAGAGATGAGAAGGAGATCGTGAGAGCGTAATAAGAACAAATTGGGAGATTAATAGTAATTAGAAATGCCATGTCCAACACATCCGACACTATGAGGTCAAAGATATGAATGGCTGGTTACGATCGAACCAGGATCGCGTGCCGTTCACTTTTATTTATTTTTTTTTTTGGGAATTGGCAGTGCCGTTTCGAATTTAGGAGGTATATTACTATATTCCGATTTCGGAGATTCAACGTTTTCCCAAACATCCCATTCATTAAAAGCGTGCACTCTAAGGGTATCTCCAACCGAAAACTTCATTTTTTAACGGTAAAGTAACGCAAAACTCTAAAATGGCACGTTGATGCTCCAATCGAACGCCATTTTAGGTGTTTTTGAGAAGGTAACGATCGCTCTCCCTTTCGCGCGTTTTTCCGTTTGAGAGCAAAAAATGGCGTGAGTGAACAGTGCGACGTCAATATTGGCGTCGCACTGTTCACCTGCGATTAAATGGCGGAAATTTTAGCGTTCTGTTGGAGCGACGGAACGACTCCATACACTCGTTTAACGTTCGGTTGGAGATGCCCTAAGGAAAAGTCATACTTAGCTCATCTTATCTCTTAGTTATGACTTTGGCTATCAATTAGAAGTTTATGGATTTGAATTTTGTGCATGTAATATGTCTGAATTTATTTTAATTGATTTAAATATTTAAAAAAAAAAATTAAGGCTTAATTTGGGGATAAATTACGTGTGGAGTCTAATTGTAGCTTTTCATCCGGACTTAGCATTTCGTCTGGACGTAATTTTTTGTTCGGACTTCAATCATCTGAAGACATCTGAATTTTTTTCTCTTATATGTAGAGAGAGAAAATTCATGTCTTGTACTTGATTGGAGTCCGAAAGACATCCCTGCACATAATAAATTAATGTTGTTTTAGAAAGTAATGAGAAATTTGTCTCAAATATAACCTTAAGGCTTCGTTTGTGACAGCTTTCTTACTGTTTCTTAAAACAACTTCTATTAATCTTTGTATTAAGGAATTGTTTTAAGAAGCATAAAGAAAGCCGTCCCAAACGAAGCCTAAGTCATTTTTATCAATGCCTCCATGCCTTTAGCCAACAAGAAACGATAAAAAATTAAATGAAACGTCTGTTATAATTTTGGTTTGGCAAATTTATGAAAAAAAAAATGTTTATTACTAATTTAAATTAATAAAAGAAATTTAAATTTTAAAACAAAAAGAGATATGAAAATATTTGAAATTTTCCCAAATAGGAAACCGAAATTTAATTAAAAGTTAATTATGTTTTATTAAATTTTCAAAAAATATATGTCCGGCTTATATTTAATAAATACAATTATGAATATTTTTAGTTTTAATTTCAAACAATTAAATAAATAATTTAACTATTAATATATTTAAATTAAGTGTATATATATATATATATATATATATATATATATATATATATAATAGAGGTGTAAATTCGGGTCAGCTGGTCGGGTTCAGGTCGAACCCGGAACTGACCCGGCACTATTCAGGTTAACCCGAACCCGACACATTTTAAAAACGGGTCAGGTTTCTGGACCCGAACCCGACCGGACATGAATGACCGGAAGTTGACCTAAAATTGCTAATTTTCTGGTCAAAAATTGGGTCAATCTTTGATTTTCGGGTCAAAATTGGATAAAAAAAGGTGTCAATCTAGGGTTTCCGGGTCCAATAGGAGTTTTCGGGTCATTTTCAGGCTGCTGGGTCAGCCCGAACTCAACCCAGTTTTTAAAACGGGTTGATTTGTTGAACCCAAATCCAACCCTTTTCGGGTCCGGGTTGACCCTAACCGGATTTTTCCGGGTCGGTTTCGGGTCGTGTTTTGGGTCGTAAAATTCAAAACTCCTATTATAAAGTTATATCTATTATAAGAACAAAAAACTATCCTTTAGTAGTCTCATTCGTATTATAAGTTTATAACTATAAATATAGGCAATTAATGCACTTAAATCTAAAAAATAAAACATATAAAATCATTAAAATCGGGGAAATTTGTTAGAATGTAGTCCTAGATTGATCATTGATCACAAGAGCTCTAAAATATTAGAAGATATATAGGTTATTAGAAATAGGGATAACATAGCAACTTTCTTGAAAAAACTTAAATAGTTGTCTCCAACGGTTTATTTTTCTATATAATGGCTACGTTGGCCCAAAAATTATACAAAAAATAATCCTCTATATATGGTTGGCTATTAAAAAAGCACATAGAAATTAGTATTCCCTTTAGGGACTATTTGGATGCAAGATTTCAATAGGATTTGAGCTAAAGCCTGCCAATTACAAAAAATCGACAAGTTAAATCTCACCTTAAGTGTATATATCCACTTCAGTGTTTTCCCACTTTTTTTGCTGAGTTCCGGCGGTTTTCAAAATTTAGTTAGAGAAGCATGTGAAGGATGAAAGATCGTTAACTTGGCGGTGGTGAGCTCCCGCTGTGACTTCTAATCCGATAGAACAAAGGTCTTTGAAGGAAGCGAATATGCTTTCTTAAGCGACTTTAGTGATTTCGTTGAATGAGGAGAACATCGTAATGATTTTGATGATGCAGGCGAACAAAATTCTGTATCAGATTATTGGAAACTTTAATTTCTATTCCATTCTTTCTCTTCTTCGATCCTTTTAATAGATTGATTCTTGACATATTTATTAGGATCAATAAAAATTTAAATTAGAATGAATATTTTATTAATTTAACCATGATCATTAAAACCAGATCGAACCAGTTGGTCAACCAGACTTTTTACCTTTGAAAACCGGAGTAGCAGCGAATCCGGGGAAAACTAGCTAAATCGTTGGTTCAACTGCTAAACCGGAGAATCGACCGGATTTGTAAGAATCATCCAGTTCAAAACATGCGTAATGGCAGCTGTTGATTGCGAAATGAAGGGATGAAATCAGTCAGAATGTTTGGATCGTATAAGTGTATGACCCTAAGCTCTACTCGTGCCTCATAGTTTCTATTTCATTAGTGTATATCCAACAGTGTGTTTTGTTCGTTTCCCCTCCCAACTCGTCATGGTCTTCGTTTGTATATAGCCAGCCATTGGTCGTGCTCCTTCAGTTATTTGATAGACACATTTCGTTACTAAGCAAATCGTCTTCCTGTTGTTTGTGGCACAAATCACGAGTTTGTCATTTGCTCACCTTCACTTTCGTCTTTAAAATATTGCTATATCTTGCTTTCATTTTTGTGGATTTAAAACCAATGAAATGAAGCTAAATTGTGTCTTCAACAAAATAACTGTCACAAACTAATAATTAAATTACTAAGGTTATTTATTTTAGCAACACACACACATAAATATATATTGTATTTCATTATGCTATTTAGCTCTCTGTTGCCAGCCGTGTACCCATGGCAACAGACAAGCCTATAAATACATGTATTACTGTTACTGAAATAATAAGATATTTTCTCTTACTTTCTGCTCATCTTCTTAATCTCTGAATAAAGCTTTCTCTTGTCTCGGAATACAAGAATCAACATGGTATCAGATAGGCATACCTAATCAGGGACCTATGGAACCATCGCTCTCCTCACAGATCTTCGGCAACATGGATCCGATGACTTCTGAACTCACCGGCATCTCACCTTCCCTCAAGTTCGTTCTTGTCAATCTCAAGAACTTTGTGCAATCTCCACTTTCTACCGACAACTATCCGGTATGGAAATCGCAAATTCTTAAAATTACTCGTGCCAATGGGTTTGAATCGTTCTTGGATCCCATGGCCCCCATTCCGACCAAAACGATCGCAGGGTCTGACGGCAAAACCACCTCAAATCCGGCTTATGCCAACTGGATTCTTGCTGATCAAAACCTTGCGTCCGCAATGTGTGCCACAATTTCGTCCTCGATCCTCCCCTATGTTCTAAATCTTGACTCCACCGCATCGATATGGACCACGCTTCAAACCCGCTTCCAATCCACTAACCGTTCTCGTGTTCTTCAACTCAAGAACGAATTACACCACATCTCCCTCAAGAACTCAACAATAACGCAATACCTCACCGACATTAAATCCATTGTTGACCAAATTGCTGCAGCAGGATCGCAGATCGACACTGAGGACATCATCTTATACATCCTCAACGGGCTCCCAAACTCCTACCAATCTTTCAAGACGTCCATCCGCACAATGCTCACACCATTGAATCTTGATCAACTCTACCCACTGTTAATCAGCGAGGAGATTCATCTTGCAGCCGACAACGCACGCAACAGCTCTAATGATGATAACCATGTGGCTCTGTTCACCTCTCGCTTTTTTCTATATCTTTCTACATAGTTTTTGAATGTGCATTATGGATCATGTTAAATAATTTCATCTAGGACTTTATTGAACCCTAAAAAAATCAAAGAAACCAATTAAGCTTTCAATTTAGGTTTCGCTTGGGCAGCTTTTTTACTGCTTCTTAAAGCAGCTTTCTAGTACAAAAATTTAATTTTTGTACTAAAAATTTACTTTAAGAAACAGTAAAAAAGCCGTCAAAAAAAAAAAAAAAAAAAACCTTAATAACAGAAGCTACATTACATTTTTTCTATATGCAAGAAGGATTTGTCAAAGCAAAAGATTCTCTTGGATGATGAGTTAAATTTTTTATACAATTTGTATGCGTGGTTTTGAAATAATCAGTTTAATATTCGGTTGAAAAAAAAAAAGAGTAGATATTCTAATACAAAATATGTAGAAAGATATTTGATATAAATTATAGATTGCTTAAATAGGAATAAAAATATCATATGGAGGAATCTAATAAAATTTAAATGTTTTGTAGTTTATATTAAATTGTTTCTATTTTGGTACATTCTATATTCAGTTATGCATACATGTGTTTTTTTTTTTTTTTGCATGCTACATTTCTTAAATGGATATTCCAAGTCATTCTAATCGACCTACACAAATTGAGGAATATAAAATTCATAACAAGTTCTTACTATTTCCATTCTTCTACTGGTTAGGATGCAACGAATCATTAGGCTTATGGTGTTCGATTTTCAACAACTGCCATGCTTAGCTTTTGGCACAAATTCAACCATTTCTTTATTCGCACTGGTTAACATTAACATTGCCTTGAAAACTTGGTGCATTTGGGACGTTTTTTTTTTTTTGCTTCTAAAAACAACATTTTAGTACCAAAATTAAAATTTTTGTACTTGCAAGCTGCTTTAAGAAGCAGTAAAAAAACCGTCCCAAGCAAAACCTAAATATTCTTTTCCACCTTCATTTTCCTTAATTAGTGTGTGGAACTCTTTATCAATGCACATAATGGCATAAGTTGGTGCTCTCAACATCATATGTTTTATCTTCCCAAAAGTCATCTTATATTGAAGTTAATCCATTTGCATTCTAGTGGAAACTTAATTATATTGATTTCCTTTTCTCTAGCATGCTATATGTTTTCCTTCAATTATGAGGTGATCACATATGATATTGAATGAGGTGATCATCTCCTAATTTAGGGAAGGGTGCTTTTTTGTGTGCTATAGCTCTCTAATTGCATCTTTAGCTCAATGTTTATAATTGATCAACATAACAATCAACCGAAACCTTCAATTGAGGCTTTTTAGTGATAATTTATAAAGTTTTGGGAAGATAATTGCATTAACAATTGCAAATGAAATGCGACCTAGTAAGATAGCCAAATTTAAGATTGCATTTTAATATTTTACTTAAGATATGGTGTTTTTGTTTATATCAAACACATTTGAATAAACCAATGTATGATTATTGATTTGTAGATCAATGTTGGATGATGTTTAGCTCTAGTGCAACAAAATTTTAGAAAGTGGCTATTAGACTTCATAGTCAAACATCATCTTCATCAGATTATGAGAGGAACTGAAGTGTGTTTTAGCATATTCATATTGAAAGATGAAATCATCTTTAGCACTAAATGCTAAATGATCTAGTATATGTTCGTTACAATCACAATTTAAATAAATATGTATTATTTGTAGCTACACTGAAATATCTTTAAAATATTGATGCACATCATATTTATTATTTTTTATAACAATTATGTATGTTGCAACTTTAAAAAAAAATGTTATGATTCTTTGAACTATACAAGTATTGAACTTGTTAACTTTTAAATCCTTGATAATGAGCCTACTCCAGAACTTCATTTAGAATACTTGGAGATGAAAATTTACAAAGATGATGCAATTCCTATAAATATAGAATGGAGCATAATATCAACTGGACCAATCCCAAGTAAGATTGTAGATTAACTCATATCATTCAAGTGTAATATAAAATATAGACTTGTTATTTCACATTAATGGTTTGCAGATGAAGACAACTTAGCTAATATATTATGTTTCATTTTATGTTATTTCACATTAATGGTTTGCAAATAAATTATTATGCTTCATTTTATGTTACTTATATTACATAGCATTTAATTGATATTCAATTTCTTTTGTTCATTTTATTTTTAACAGTTTTATATGCTAGAGAAAGATAATTTAAGAATATGATAATTACTTAATATTTATTGTCTTCAATTAAAAAAGAGATAATCATTCATCTTTTATACTTTATAATTATTTATTTCTTTAATTTTTCATAATATTTTTATATAATTGCATCAATAAAAATAAATTATATTATATTTTTAATAAAATTAGTATTTATTACTATCCGGTTTGAACCGATTCCACCCGTCTGCAGCATCGAACCGTGAACCGCTAACCTGCATCCAAACAGGCTTCTATATGACAAAGACGCCTCATTGCGCTCAGTGCGGCGGCATCCATGATGGACAGCGGCGCCGGAGGCACCGCAGAGTCGTCTCCCTTACCGTCGTCATCGGTGCTTCCATTGATAACGGTGGAGGAATGGAGGGTTTCGGCCTCCACCAAGCTCTCGAAGACCGCCACCCTCACAGCTGACACTTCCTCCCTTAACATTCTACGGTCTGAGTGTGAGTCTGCTCCTCATGATTTTTCTTTCGTAATTCTCAGGTGTTTCGCTTACTTGCAGATACGGTAGCCGATGGAGTGAGATACGGGGAAAGATCCTGGAGGCTTTCGTGCCAGAGGCAAGTTCTGACATGTTTACCTTTAGAAAGCCTAATTTGCAATCATAAACAAACTTAGCTGCTGTAGGCCAACTCCTTGGTAATTAAGCTTTCCTTTCCCTCCTCTCTTCTCATTTAGCTGGGGGATGTTCATAGCTTTAGGGTTGACATTTGATTTGCCTTGACATTCGCCCGCTGCGTCGACTGGCCATTTGACCTCGTATGCAATCCTTTCGGATAATGGTAGTCAACTTGTGAAGAAGGCATGAGGAAAAATTTGCTCTTTGGAAAAGTTGACTTCGTTACATAATATGGAAAACAAAACCACATAGGCGCATACTCTGTAGAACACTAAATTCTTACACGATAGAAAAGGGAAATAATGTGAACTCCACCTCCTTGATTGATTTAGATGCGACATATTATTATCTCCTATGCTAATATAGTTAAAAAGTTTTAATGCTTTGTTTTGTTATAAAATTATCAAGAAGATGAAGAATGGCGAGGAGAAAGCTATGACGCTGTTTGAGTAGGTTGAACTTTTTTTTATTTTATTTAGTTCTTCAATTTTCTTATGCTTCTATCTTTAGAATCCAATTGTAAGTGAGTTCTTCAAATTTCAAGCTTATTAGATTGTAGTTTTTTTAAAAAATTTCTTACTAAGTATTTTTGACTTGACTTTTATATTTGTTATATTATGTCAAACTTCCATCATCTATCATTAGCCTTATAAAAGGTGTTAAACCAATTTCGCACTAATATTTTTGGACAACTTCTATCCTTGCTATATTTGGTGTATCCATTTTCCTTGCTCCATTAATTTTATCCAATTTTCTTCTTTGTGCACTTTGTTCTACATGTCCAAACCATCTTAGTCTATTTTTTGCTACCATTTGTTCAATAGATGATATTCCTATAATATCTTTGATATAAGTAGGTATTGATTTATCCTTTACCACACAATCATTTTAATATATTTCATTTCTTGTACCATCAACTTGGCTATAACTTTTTTATTTCCTAAACTTAGAACCATACAATTTAGCATGCCTAATTGCCATTTTATGATGTTTATATTTAAGCCTCAATGATATTCTGTCATTCCGTAGTTCTCTTGAGGCACTTCTTCATTTTAACCATTTAATCTTAAGTTTAGAAGCTTTAGCTTTATCCATGCATTCACTATTCTGTAAAATAGATCCAAAGTACTTAAATTATCAAAACTAGGTATTAATTTATCTTCTAGTTATAATGATATATAAATTTTAATAACACAACCACTAAAAATGCATATCATATACTCAATATTTTCTATAATAATCTCACATCTTTTATTTTCTTAACATTTTCTCCATTATTCTGACTCTCCACTTATTACAACAAATGTCTTGCCTATTAGCTATGCTATATTTGAAAAATATAATTCAAGTTATTTCACTTTTTATCTCTTCAGCTAGTATCTTCATAATCAATGCTAAAAGGCACATACTTGGTGCTGATCTTTGAGTAATACTGTTGTATGGGAAACACTTTGATCGATTATCAATTGCTTTCAGCGTGTAATTTTTGACAAACCTACCAACTAAATTCAGCAGTCCCTATTGTAGTATGATATAAATCTCTCTATCACACAGGGAAACGCATGGATGCATACTTAACCCCCCTACTCATTATTCTCCAATCTTCATTAGAACAAATCATTAATTGTTAGCAAAGCAAGCAAATTGAGCTCTGTAATGCCCTTGTTCCTCCTTTCCCTTTGCTTTTTTTAACCTTATGCTAGAAAAGATGGAAAAGAAGAGGGTAAGATATTGAGAATAATCAAGGAAGCATGTCAAATTATAAAAGAAATGATTAAGGATCCGCCAACATTATAAGGGTACTGAATTTTTCATATACTTTTCAATTGCAATTAGATTCTGAAAACAGGGGATTCTATGCCCATTTAAAAAGCCTTTCATTCTCCCACTCGCTTCCTCCTTTCATACTCAATTTTCCTCCCTTATAGCATGGACGAGGCCTCATTTGCCAGTGTAGCTAGAAAACTCATTACATTTAACTATTTGTGCACTCATTGTAGATTCATTCCCATAATGTATCTCCTTTTTGAGAATAATTTATCTCAATTATTCGAAGTGTATTTTATGATCTAGGAATATTTAAATAAAAGTGATATGCTTGCAATGATAATCTAATATAAAAATATTTACCTGTTTGTGTATTTTAATTTTTGTTCCTTTTAAATTGCTTTATCAACATGTTGTTTTACACTTTTACTCATTTCTCACAGTTGTATTTGTTAGTAATTCTATGTGATGTATTCTGAAGCTTTATAGAAACAAGAATATTTAGAATTTATAAGCCATTACCTACCTAATTTCTGTAAATTTCCACTTGAATTCAACAATCATAGAAACTTCATGTATTATTAGCATTGACGCTGGATTTATTGATGGTTAAATTCATAGGAAAACCAAAAAAATCCAACCACCACAAAAACTTTTTGATAGTCTTTATTTACAAAATTTTGTCACTATAGTTCCTTGTTTGACTTGTGCACCTCCTTGGAGTATTTTCCAAGCATTGGGGGGCCTCCACACCTCACGATGAAAGACAAATAAATATAACTATTTCTATTGATCAAACGTTAACTATAAGCATCCTTTTTTTATGGGAACATCAGTGTTGGGCTTACACTCCCTTTAATTAAATGAAATTGAAAACATAAGCTCTTTTCAGTACAACTGCCACGGGGAGAACAGAGAGGTTTACGTGAAGATGACCATTAAGGAAGTGAAACCGTGTCTACAGATTCAGGAACAAACAATTTACAATAAAAAGAAACACAGATTAGCAAACTATGTCTAAAACTAGAATTAGTCTTGGCTTAGACTGAGGAGATATGACCATCTCTAAAGGAATTTTTGAGAGCTTCATTAACAAACATCTTCCTTAAGAATAAAAAAAATCTAATCACAGTACCTTCCTTTAGATGAAATTGAAAGTATAAGCTCTTTGCAGTACAACTGCTGGAGAGAGAACATGGAGTTTTACTTGAAGTTGACATGCAAGGAAGTGAAACCGTGTCCATCACTTATCTAAAACAGAGATTAGCTGTTATGCTTCTTGATGTATCTACATCAACAAGCGAAATGCACCTTTTGAGTAGGTAAGGTTTAGACTCCTTAAAAAAGAAGAAGGGGAAGAAGATAGACTAGAAAGGGAGTAATTAGAAATTATTCATTCCATATACTTTCTTACAATAGGAAGTGTATTTATAATACTTGGGTAGACCAAGTTTACAAAATAGAACCGGTCTACCTTAAACAAATAAAAGAAAGACTAGACTAGTGCTTTATTACATATGTATAGACCATTTAGTTTGTATTTTATTTGGTTAAAAATATATTGCTGATGTTTGACACTCCCATCGTCATGGAAAACAACATTTTCCTCAAGGTTGAGAGAATGAAAAGACGAAGAGAGGGTTGCAAAATTTTCCCATGTGGCATCATCTGGAAATTTAATTTTCATTGCAAGAAAACTTACCCGCGAAGTTGTAAAAAGGTAGAAGGGGAAAAAGACATAAGGAGAAATTCATAGTGACCTTCGTGAATAGTTTGATGAACATTTGTAGAATGTTTCATAACTTGCTGAGAGGCAGAATGAAAATGAAGTTTGAAAAAAAAGACTCTACGTAATTCATCTAAAAATTAATGTATTATAGGAATAGATAATTTATCGGAAAGCGGAAGAAAATGGGGTTCTTGATACCTGTTAACAAAAAAAAAAAAAGAGAAACTAGTTGAAGACAGTTTCTGAAAACAGCAAGAAAATCAAGGAAACAGGGAACCTGATGCATTCATGAAAGAATCTGGAGGTTTGAATTTAGTTTGTAGTGGAAAGAAATAGAAATCAGCAGGCGGTAGATGGTAGGAGAGGAGAAACAGAGGTTCCTCAGCAGCTGAAACAGAGGTTCGCAGCTTCTTGTATTGGGCGCTGTTTGGTTGGGGAAATGGCCGGCTGTTCTTGTAAACTGCATGCATTGATGGCTTAGTGAATGTGGATTCCTGCTACTGAATGTAGGAGAGTGGTTGGCTAGCTGAGTGCAAGTAAAGAGTAACGGCTGAAGGAATGGTTGTATAGGTTGAAAAATTACTGTTCTTGATGTTCGCAGATGCAGAATCTGAAAAAACTGCAGAAATTCTTGAAGGCATCAGCAGATTTCTTGTTGTTGTTCTTGAATGCAGCAGGTTAGCAGGCTGAAAGGAAGGCTGGGCAGTGACTGCTGGCCCACAGGATTAGGAGGTGGAGAATGGAGTTTCGGCGTAGGAGAAAAGGTATTGTGGCTGGACAGAGGGCTGAATGACCCTTCAAGACAGGTTCTTGGCTGGAATCTAAGGCTAAGGGGGCGACTGTAGCAAATTTGTGAGTGGTAGCTTAGCCTGGATGAAGAATTGTGGATGGCAGGAGTTTCTTGAGGTTGCTGCTGTTGGAGTGGAAGAAGAACAGCGGGCCTTAAGGTAGATGGCTTGCGGTTTGCAGGAGGGACACCGGATGGTGGAGTGCTGCTGGCCGGCAGGTGGGAGACAAAACAATGGTATAAATTGGAGCGCTGGACCGTGGGAATGAGATAAGAAAAGCTGAGAAGAAACCTCTTGCTATGGCATGAGATTGTCTCAACGAGAACATCATTTGCGATGCTTCTTGATCTACATCAAGAAGGGGAATACATCTTTTGAGTAGGTGTAGACTCCTTAAAGAAGAAGAAGGAGAAGAAGATAGACTAGAAAGGGAGAAATCAGAAATGATTCATTCCATAAATTTTCTTACAATACAACAACAACAACAATAACATCAATCCATTATCCCATTATGTGGGGTCAGCTATATGCCTATATGTATCTTTTTTCTCCATTTTCTCTAAATCTTTTCGTACAATAAGAGGTAGACCAATTTTATAAAGTAGAACCAGTCTATCCAAAGCAAATAAAAGAAAGACTAGACTAGTGCTTTATTACATATGTATAGACCATTTAGTTTATATTTTTTTTGGCTAAATATATATTGTTGATGTCTAACATTAGCCTACTACATCTGAAACCAGACATTATCTAGGCTCAGATTGAGAGATATTTGACCATCTCTAAAGGAACTTATGGCTGCCTCCTTAACAAACATCCTCAAAAACAAATTTATAGCTCTAAGGAAACAAAAAATCTAATCACACCACAACACACACAGACAGGCACACTTTAGAGTTAATGGATTGTGTGTTGGAGGGTTTGCTGTATTAGCGTGGCTTGCATGCAACTTTTAAGCTTTTGTTTGGTATTGCTTGGATCTAGTGAATTATCGTGGGAAACATGGAGCTCTGTAGTGGGGAATTAAACCTTCATTTTATATGCTGTGTTTCTCCATGCATATGGACTGACAATGTGAATAATTTCTGCTAGCAGGGCTTTCCAAATAGTGTCACTCCAGATTATGTCCCTTTTCAAATATGGGATTCCTTGCAGGTAGAAGTGCTTACATGAAGATGTTTGAAAGTAACAACATATGGCTATTCTTGCACTAAACCTGATGTTATTCTCTATAGGGACTCTCAACTTACATACGGTCCATGCTATCCACCCAAGTAAGTAGTATCCTATTTGCTAAGGTCACCTGAGAGAAGTTTAGATTATGCAATTTAGCTTCTTCTCTGAATTCTGCTAGCCGAATCGAATGATTGCCTTATTTGCTAACTGGAAACAGGCACTGCTAAGTGCTATTGGAGTTGGGGAGAAATCTGCCACTGTCATTGGGGCTACCTTTCAGGTTTAGTTTGTGTTCACGCGAGCTCAATTATTGCCTTTCTAATATTTTGTTGCTCTATCATTCCCGTGTTTGTGATTTTACTCGATTATTATTTTAAATAAAACTTCCTCTGAATCCTAGGCTTAATAGAGAGCAACGTCATCTTTCCCTTCTTATTATACTTTATCAAAACCTTTTTTTTACTTCTTAATTTTTTTGTTTGTGCATTTAATTGAAATATTTAGTACCAATTATCTGACCTTTTATTGGCTTTTGCTTGTAACCCTGCCAATCTTCTATAACTAAATGGAAGACTTTATCAGTGGTTTCTGAGAGATTTTACTGGCATGCTAGGAGGCATCTTATTTACATTTTACCAGGTATTATGTCCCCCCACCTTTTTTTTTTTAAATTTAGTAATATCTGTATTGCTTGTTTTTAATGTGATCTATTATTAGGAAATATTTCCTATAAATGTTACATTATGAAAAGCTGTCTCTTTCTTTTCTGAAGCTTATCTGCTATTATATTTGGCACCAAATCCAATTTCATTTGTGTTGATAACTAATGTTTTCTTTGTCATGCTTTGCAGGGTTCCAATCTCGATAACAATGCCAAGATGTGGCGTTTAGTTGCAGATTTTATGAATGATCTTGGTAGAGCTCGTCATTTTTCCTAATTCAACGTCAGTAATTAATTTTTTTTAAGCGGATACATTTGATGTTTTTCCTTATCCGGTAGTTTATAGCATCAAACTTCATAGCTATTTTGCCAATACATAACACATTTTTTTAATGCACTATTATAACTTTAAATCTTCTTTCATGTTAATTACGATTTACTGCTTCTATTTCGAAATATGATTCAGTCATGAAATTTTCAAATCATCAAAATTCATCTTTTGACTTAACAGGTTGCCGGTAATAGGTTTTAGATATAGGCATTGGTTGTTTAGGTTTGAACTTGTGTATTGTCTTTTTTATTTTTTTCACACGTTATATTACTTGTTTAATTTTTGTCGTGTTTCCTTTATTTTGTGCATTTTTATTTGAATCAATTTGCTTGCAAAATATTTTATAATTCAATTTACCTCTCTCTTGGGTTAAGTGATAACTATCATATGATACACTATAGAGGAGATAGCTTTGGGGGATTTAATTAGAAGAGCATTAGTCTTAAAATAATGATTGTAATATTCCTCAATATTCAAGGTTATGTATAATAACTCATTCAATGTTTTTGATGAGTTATAGTTTAGTTCATCCCAAATTCTTGTTTAAGACCTTTAACAAGTAATAATAAAACATAGTAGTTTAAAGATACATACCATTTAAACTACAAGGCCTATACGTCATGCATAATGCTTAAACACATTATATTTGCTTATGTTTAAAATTCAGATCATTCTTTTGATCCCGATGTTCACCAAGTATTGCTTTTAAGTCTATGTTTCATATTAGCCCATGATGATTTATAACAACACTTTGCTGGAATGATTTAGCATATCAAAAAATTCTTCGAAATTGTTAATCAAAATTTTAAAAAATCTCAAATCATATCTCCCATCGAAGGAACGATATAGTTTTTAATCTCATGAAAATTATGTTATAATTGTCTAGAATTATAACTTTCTAAGGTTTCATTTAAATTGTATTTTTTGTGTTTGAATGGCCAATTTATTTTGTCACATTTTAGTTCACATGATGATGCAACTTAGCTCTACTATCAAATTGATTTAGGATGTCTTAAGTTTCAGTGTTTTTAATGGTTCTAAATGATGCAATGGATGTAGATCACATGAAAGAAATAAGGATTCATAGATCAAAGGCAACCAATTTAGCAAAACCTCATTTTTTTAATGTACACTCAAAGTATGAGAAACTTGGATCAAAGGACAATCCAACGATTCGTTAAATTTATAGAAACGAAAAATTGAAACCACAAGTGTCAACAAGGAGATTTGCAATTTTGCATCTCAATTTAGGGGTGTCAATTTGGGTCAACCTGTCGGGTTCGGGTCGAACCCGACCCGACCCGTTTTTGCAACGACCCGACCCGTTTTATCAAACGGGTCGAATCTGTAAACCCGGACCCGACCCGTTTATAAACGGGTCGGGTCCGGGTCGGGTTGTCGTGTCGTGTCAAATATTGACACCCCTATCTCAATTGAGTCAATTTGTGATGAATTGTGCTAAAATTAGTTGTGCTCGCTAAGTCAATGATAAGATATTAAAAAAAATTAACAAGATGCAAAACAGAAGAACTAGTCCCAATTGCTAATAGCCAGAAGGGAGTATCTCCATGCATTTACTAAGTCAAACATCATGCAATCAGTAACCACCCATGCCCAAAGCATCTGCTTAAACAACCGAACCAACTCAGAAGTTATCCAGCCACAAATATCATAATTAAAGAAACCAAAAATTCTCATAGGTATGATCATATGCATGTTAAAACATAATCCCAAACTAGGAATTATACAATTACAAAATAAAGTTTAAACAATGACCAAATCTGCCTGTCATAGCGTGCAAGATTTGCACTTTCAACAAGTGTAGACCTTTTGATGAGGACATCCAACCGTGAAAGCTTATCAGAAGAGGAGCCAAAGATCGATGGCCATGATTCTACCACTTTATTTTGAGTTATTATTTGTATTTTGATTTATTTATGTATTTTTTTCCGTTTTTACCCTCACTTGAGGGAGTAGGCATATGTGATCCCATGGGGCACTTTTGTCATTGGTTTTATTATTGTATTTTGGTTATTTATAGCCCCACTCTTCTTTTGAGGGAATGGATGATTATGAAGAAAAAAAATTCATCACTTTGTTCTTGAGAGCTTTACGAGTTCTTACGAGAGGTGAAGTCCCTAGGCGAGGGCAACGTATTATCCACCAGCCACATGAAGCGTCCAAGCTCGTGGTTTGAAGCCCCTAGGTGAGGGCAAACTATTACTCATCAATCGTAGGAAGCGTCCGACTCGTGGTTTATCTTCTCCACCGACTCCCTCCCTTTCTCCAAGCCGCTGGCCCCCATCTCCACCATCGTCCCTCCTTTCTCCTAGCTGCCGGCCACCCTCTCTCTTCCTCCTAATTACCTGCCCAACACCCACCTCCCCTCTTATCCGCTGGCCCAAAGCCTTCCCCTTCCTCTTAACTGTCAGCCTCCACCTCTCCTCCTTCCTAGCCGCCGGCCCTAACCCTAATCCCCTCCCCGCTGACCGCATCTCCCCTCCTTTGCCTCTAAATTTTTCAGTCTTACTACTTTCCTAAAATAGATCATGACGAATTTGGGAGGATATTAATTCAATCTTGAATCAATTTCAAATTTGAATTCTTTCCTAATTTAACATGAGTTATATTTGGAAAGTTTCTCAATGAAATCAATTTGAATTTGAATTCAAATTAAAAGAGATATGGGCATTAAATCTCTTTTAATTAAATTGCTTTTCCTTGAAAACTATTTGAAATCCTTCCTAATTCCTCCCTCCCTCCTTTAACAAACGGCCCTACCTCTCTCCTATCTAAATCTTATTTCCATTTAGGCTCCTAATTACATTTCCATTCAATGTCCATTAAAGAATTTTAAATCCCCAATTGATTACTTTCCATATGTGATGCATCTTAAATTAGGAAGGTTTTAATTTCAGATTTTAATTCATTTTGAATTTGAATTCTTTCCTAAAATAAGAGAATAGTTTATTAGAAGTTCTCCAATCAAGGGCTCAATTAAATTCAAATTTAATTTAGAGAGTCAATTGCATAAAAATTTCTACATTGAGATTGGCTTTGATTGACAATCTATCTCAATCCCATAATTCCCTCCCAACTCCCATAAGCGCCGGCCCTCTTTCTCTCCCTCTCTCCTTTTTTGCTCCCTCCAATTAATTCTCCAGATATTCTATTTGTTGGAATTAATTTCAGATTTCTAAATCATGGCTTGCTTTTGGTTCTACATCACCTTCTGACCATTTAGAATAGTTTTTACTAGTAATCTATGATGCACCGACCGGACACGGCGACACGGACATGGACACGACACGACACGGACACGGGACACGGACAATTTTAAAAATACATAGGACACGGGTGCGGCATGGACACGGCATAAATAATTTTTTAATATAATATATAAAAATTAAGTGTGACATGAGTAGGTAAAAATGTCAAACAATAATAATATCAAATTTCATGATAACTTGTTTAGCTTATAACATAAAGTATGTTTAGTACAAATGTCTAGTATACAACACAAAATATAAGCAAAAAATCATTTTAATACAACATGAAATGTCTAACTACTCAATAGAGGGAATGATAAAATTAGATTAAGAGTTGGTCTTTGGCCTTTTCAAATATATCATTAAGTATCATTGCTTCCAACTCTGGTTCATCTAGAGAAAAGATTTAACCTCTAATAATCCCATATCATCAAGGCACATCGAACCATCCTCCAGTAACATCCACATCTTGTATCACCTGTCATATAAAGTGGGGTTCGCTTGATAGACAGACGAAGATTTGTCTCACATAATTAAAATCTTCAGGCACGTATTGGAGTTATTATCTCTCATTATTAATATTGAGAGTGCTCGAATTTCTTCACAACAGGAAGAAGATGATCTTGACCAGTAGTTTTTTATTGTTAATT